TCAGGGCGTAACAAAGAGAATTATTTTAACAAAGTAAAACCATTTTGGGTGTCCCCCGAAAAATGTAGACACACTTTCAATGATTATAAAGTCAGTGCTTATGACTATACAGTTCATTTTCAGCATTTAAAACAATCTACAAAAATGAATTTTTTTTAATTTTTATTTTTTGGTCAGTGTTTTCAAACTGACAATTGTTCTGGTCCATGCTCTGCTGATAACGCAAAGCAGTGGAATCACCAACATCAGGAATTATTTCGTGCGCTATTTGTGCTCCCTCAATGCACCGAAGAGTGCCGGTTTTTTACCGCAAACTTTATCTTTTATGTGTCCCCATTAAAAAAAAAAAAAAGTCTAATGACACTTTAGGATACATTTTATTTGTTCAAAGCTTAGTCTGGCTTCACTCGTTGTTTCAAATACATTAAACCTGAACAGGAGTGAAAATTAAGTGAGTGATCAGCTATTAAAGTGTGTGTACATTTTGAGGGGATGCCCTATTTAATAACAAAATACTACAAACACCAGGACCCCATAAGCCCACTGAAAAGACCGTGGTTGGCCCCATTGGGACGATGGCAACATTCCTAAGAATGTAATATATGTACTGGATTGAAGCATGTTAAATATATAACAATGTATCCAGCCTTCGCTAATATAGGTACTGGATTGAAGCATGTTAAATATATAACAATGTATCCAGCCATTACTAATATAGGTACTGGATTGAAGCATGTTAAATATATAACAATGTATCCAGCCATCACTAATATAGGTACTGGATTGAAGCATGATAAATATATAACAATGTATCCATCCATCACAATACTCAAAAACCCACTGGTTACAAATATCTCTTAAAACTCAACAGGGGAAAAAAACAATTACGAGGCAGTGACCTCAAGATACCCCTCTCTTTCGGCTGCTCTAACACAGTAGCACCGGCCAGGTGAATCATGTATTTATTTTCCACAGTTCGGGGAGCTCTTCGATTGGGGGTTCAGCATACTGGATTCTGGGGGCGACCCCCACCCGCCGGCAGGTTGCAGAGTGCTGACGTGTCGTGTCCTTACTCGGAGCAAGGGGACAAGGGAGCTCCCTGGGGTCTCGTTTACAAGGGTGCTAATCCCATTCTTGGGGGCCACAGCCTCGTGACCTCATCCTAACACCAGAAGAGTGGTGATTGGGGTTTTAACCTAAGGATTGGGGAGGGACAAAAATATTCAGTTCGGTTCAACTGGGAACGGCTGGGGAGATATGTCCTTGGTCCTTAACAGAGGGGAGTGTATCCAGCCCGCCGCGTGCGTAAGGAAGGTTACGAACACCGAGGCTCCTAGGACTTCTCAGACGGGGACCTATCGCTTCACGGTTTCAGGTTTTTTGTTTTTGTTTGTTTGTTTGTTTGTTTGTTTGTGGTGAGGCAAAGATTTCGGAAACAGGCAGTGGGGATGGTTGCTCACCATTTTGAATGGGAATAATCCTAGTTAATGTGACACTTAGAAATTATTAAAACAGCAAAATGCTTAGTACACGCACATATGTATATATCACATTTATATATGTCATTTTTATATTTTATTTATGTATGTATACACAGGGGGTCCCCAAAACATGCGTACACACTTGGAAGAATTATTATTTCTGATGGGTTAAACCTGAAATGAAAGAAACCTCAGTGGAGCTATCAAAAATATGTATATATATATGTATATATTTTGAGGGGAAATACCCTATATCTATATATCTATATCTATATCTATATCATCTATATCTATATCTATATCTATCTATATCTATATCTATATCTATCTATCTATCATCTATCTATCTATCTATCTATCTATCTATCTATCTATCTATCTATCTTTATAAGATTTTTAATTTTAGTTTTGCTCAATTTAAGGACAGTTTGAAACAGCATCGGAATACAGTATCTCACACATTTTCTTTTTTCTTCTCCCAAAAGCAATCAGATTAGACAGACAAAGGGACCGAGACATTCAGGTACAGTGTTAAGTGTAAACTTGGTTACAATTTTTGGCGGACGAGAGAGCCGCAGCGAGCAGGAAAGAGAGAGAGAGAGATTTGGAATCTTTATTTCTGGGAAGAGAAACCTTTCCCCTGTTCCTCCTGCGTCTCTCTTTCTCCGCGGCGGCTGGCTCAGTCGCCGATCCCATCACGAGTCTGAGACACCCTCCCCAGCAGACACTCTGCCCATTATGTGTAGTGACGGCCGGCCCTCTCGAACCCAGACCGATACCACCCAGGTTGTGCGAGATTCATTCTGCAAAGGCCGGGCCTGGGTAGCGAGAGCTGCCAAGTGGGAGTCTGGAGGGCGGTGCTCCCAAAATTGGGGATTGATTTTGGTGGGGTTTTTTGTGTGTGTGTGTCCGCCCCTGGACTGTACCAGCACAGATACTGATTCTGGGGTCTAGGATGGAGCCCGCGTGTTTCTCTTTTTCTTGACCACTCAAGCTTTTATCTTTGTATTTTTGACCCACGATCTCAGGCAGTCTGGCCGTCCCTGCTCTCAGGACCCTGAGGGCTCGGACAGGATGGTTCCAGCCCCACGGTGACACAGGGTGGGGTGCAGAGCTGCCCTTAATCCATGTGTTCAGGAGGCAAAGGACGACCTGCCCCTGGGCAAACTCCCGGCCACCTCTGTCTCTCCCCAGGATGGTTTTCAATGTCAAGTGCTGGAACGTAGCTTGGAGTCATGAGACAGACCATTTGGGTAAAGGACTGGACGTATTTTTCCTTCGAGTCCCTAGTTTTAGCACTTTCTGCCCTTGTCTACCAGGTTTGGGGACCTTGAACTTGTTGTGACGGTAAGGAAAGCGCGTCTATGCTATGCTTTTTCCTTTTAAATCATCCCATAGATAGACAGTGAGGATGGTCTTAATCAAAATGCCTCTTTTCTCACTGCTTTAGAAATACTCCGCGCTGTGCCTTTAGCTACAGGTCAACGAACCAAAACAAGATATTGGCTTTTTTGTGTGTGTGTGTGTGTGTGTGTGTGTGTGTGTGTGTGTGTGAGTGTGTGACTGACTTACAGGGGTGACTGACTTGCAGGCTTCATTTCAGAGACAGAGAAATCCCTAAAACTTAAATGATTTGTCAGCTGAAATGCTTTGTTTGGAGCTGAGACTGTCTGTCAAAGAAAGTAAACATTTGTTTAAAAAAAAAAAAATCATAGCCAGACCTGGCCGGCGTGGCTCTGGTTAGAGCATCGATCGGCCCATGAACCAGATAACTGTTAAATTCCCGGTCAGGGCACATGCCCGGGCTGTGGGCTTGACCCCCAAGACGGGGCGTCCAGGAGGCAGCCAACCATTGATGTTTCTATCTCTCTCTCCCTTCCTCTTTCTGAAATCAATATAAAATAGATATTTTTAAAAATCAGTAGCCAAGACACGGAGACAACCAAAGTGTCCTGCGATCGAGGACTGGATAGAGAAGATGTGGGACATGCCCACGATGGAATACTACTCAGCCATGAAAAAGGGTGGGCTCCTGCCATTTGCAACAACGTGGATGGACCTTGAGAATATGCTGAGTGAAATAAGCCGAGCAGAGAAAGACAAATGTCCCGGGATCTCACTCATATGTGGAATCTAATGAACATAATAAAGTGATGAACAAAATAGATCCAGAGACATGGAAGCATGGAGCAGACTGAGGGAGCTCAGAGGGAAGGGGGTGGGAGAGGGGCAGGAAAAAATTAACCAAAGAGCTTAAATGTATCTACACATAAGCCATGGACACAGACAATAGTGTGGGGAAGGCCTGAGGAAGGGGCAGGGTAGAGGGGTCAATGGTGGGGGTGGGATGGGAAGGGAAAACCTGTAATACTTTCAACAATACTAATAAATTTTTAAAAAACTGACCACTTTGCTACAGTAAATGCCCGAGTTGCCCTATCTGCAGCTTTTAAGGAGGAATTAAGAATGTGACGCCTTGTGTTAAATCTAGTTCTTAAATTTACAGACTCCTCCTGGCTTTCAAAGTAAAAGTATCCCACCCGCTCATGCTATTTTGGGGACAGTCAGGGAGACTTGAATATGCATTGGCTTTCGGCCAAAATTTCTTTTTCTTGTGATGAGAACTCTTAAGAGCGACTCTCTTAGCAACTTTCGAATATGTAATACAGTGCTATTGACTGTTTCACAATGTATGCTTTTCTGTCTTAAATTCAGAACAGTTGGTTGTTGTTTACAATAATGGAAGCAAAGCGACTTCTTTCGAAAGGGCCACACTTTCAGTTTTCCTTTCCAGCGTTATTCCGTCAACTTTACATTTGATTAAAGAATTATAATTTTTTTTTTAATGTGTGACTGTGATTGTTTTTCTATATAGAAAAAAATAGAGGTGTGTCGTAAGCTGTTTAAGTGTGGGTCTCATTATGTCTGTAGTTTACTTTGAAACTCGAGCCCTAAAAGGTGTTTAATAAATTATTACTGAAAATGAATTATTAATAATGTTAATAAAATATTTAATGGGAAAGCCTGTCATTTACTGATTTTGTACACACACATACTCAGCCTTACACATGGATGCCAACACACAAATCCCCTACACACACACACACACACACACACACACACACACAACCTGGGTACGTCCCCTGACCAGGAATCAAATGGGACACCTCTAGGTGCCCAGGATGCTGCCCAACCTACTGAGCCACACCAGCCAGGGCAGAGGTCATTTTGTCAAGGAAAATGGACATATGCACCAGCAGGATAACTTGGATCTAGTGTCGTCACCTGTTATGAATATTTTAGATTAATTCTAAAATACAAACCCACAGATGAGACATTTTATCATCATATCAGGAGAAACAATAACCATTGTAACTGTTACATCCACACTGTAACCCTCGCCGCCTCCCTGAGCAAACGTTCTACACTGTTGCTGAGGTAAACCAGGGTCTTTCCAAATAGCAACAATGTTGCGCTTTTTACAGCTGACAGATCAGAATGTCTTGTGTTCTCTTGCAGGGTTCTTAAGTACCGGTGACCAGGCGGCCAAGGGCAACTACGGGCTCCTGGATCAGATCCAAGCCCTACGATGGATCGAGGAGAATGTCGGGGCCTTCGGTGGGGACCCCAAACGAGTGACCATCTTTGGCTCGGGCGCGGGAGCCTCCTGCGTCAGTCTCCTGACCTTGTCCCACTATTCAGAAGGTAATGATGGGAAAGTCATGGATTCGGCGCCTCCTGCACACCCCCGACTGGGGATCGAGCCCACAACCCAGGCGTGTGCCCTGACTGGGAATCGAACCAGCGACCTCCTGGTTCATAGGTCGATGCTCAACCCAAATCAGTCCGGCTGGGCTACATTTTTTTTTAACTCAGCTTTCTTTCCATTTTAAAAATTGAGATATAATGGACATAGAACCTTCTCTTAGTCTCAGGTGTACAACATAATGGTATCACATTTGTATAAATTGCAAAATGATCGCAGTGTCGTTCATACCCATCACCTCACGTAGCAACAAAATTTCTTTTTCTTGTGATGAGAACTTTCAAGATCTCCTCTCAGCAGCTTTCAAATATCCAACAGAGCATGTTTAACTATTTGAACAATACACCATTTTTTTTTTACATAAATTTACAGCCGTTAGATGTCGCTTACAGTAACAGGAGTAAAAGGATATCTTTCGAAAGGCTAACACCTTACTTTTGCCTTTTTGACCTCATTTGGTCGACTTTAAATTTTGTTAATTTTTTTTTAATTTTAACTTTTTAATAATCTTCACCCAAGGATATTTTTTCCATTTTTTTTTTTTTTTTTGGAGAGTGGAAGGGATGGAGAAAGAGAGAGAGAGAAAAACATTGACATGAGAGAGAGACATCGATTGGCTGCCTCTTGCACACACCCCAACCGGGGCTGGTGATCGAGCCTGCAGCTGAGGCGCGTGCCCTTGAACGGAGTCGAACCCGAGACTCTTCAGTCCAGGGGCCGGTGCTCTAACCCCTGAGCCCAACCGGCTATGGCTTTTAACTTCTAATTTCAACTTGGCACATACAATAGGTAACCGTATGTAGATATTAACGGTATGTAGATAACAGAGGTGGGTTTGGAGATTTCGTAGTAAAGTCTTATTACGTAATGAGACTGCGGCCATTCGGCTTTAAAAGCCATTTCTCTTCTATGGACTATGTCCCCTAACTGTGTCCCCATGCTGTACGGTAGAAAATAATATTGAGAGGAAACTGTAATTGAAAACAAAAAGCCGCTTCTGTGATCCAAGCTAACGCAGGCTGATTCTCTCTTGTCCATGGGTGACAGAGGATTTAAGCGTTGATGAGACTGAAAAGAGACGCAGGGAATATCGTCAATAATATTGTGATAACTGTGTATGGGCCCAAGTTGGTCCTAGACTTGCCAAGGGGATCACTTTGTAACGTATATAAACGCTAGCCGCCATGCTAGACACCTGAAACAAATATAACATTGAATGTCAACGATAATTGAAAGACATAAAAATTTAAATTTAAATAAAAGAGAGACATTAACAGGGGTTGGATACAGTGGGCACCATTCCTGTTTGAACCACTTACATTGAAAGCACTTGAAATTTTATTTTACTTTAAATAGTTTTACGGTATCTTTTTTTAAAGTATGTTCAAGGTCCACATACATGCTAATAACGGGAGGGGCCTCCGTGCGGTGTCCCGGACCCCGTTTCCTTCCAGCTTCTTGTACCATCGTGGACAAGTTGCTGAATCTTTCCTGTGCCTTCGTGTCCTGGAAGAGTTAAAAATAAAGTTTCTTTCTTTCTTTTTTTTTTTTTCTCCTGCTGGATATCCATGCACGACATAGACCGGATGGGATATTTTCAACCAACACACAATTTTTCTGCTCAAATCTTAACTCTTCCAATTGTCCATATTTTTCAAGTATCTCACCAAACCGTTGATAATTTTTTTTTTTTGAAAGATGCATTTCAGTGGCTGCTCCAGTGAGGATTTCCTTCAGAGCAGCCAATTCATTTATTTTAATTGTAAATTGCTTTCTGAGCTCTGTTTGTGTTCAATCAGAAGAAATGCAAAGTGTGGCGCCGTGACTAGGAATCGAACCGGCAACCTCCCCGTACATGGGCTGATGCCCAACCACCTGAGCCTCACCGGCCAGGGCCGATTGTAAAATTTTAACGTGATATCTTGAGCAGGTTGAGAAGGGGAATAGAAGTCCATCTCTGAAATTTAGGTATTTATAACACCATACAGAATGATCACCTTAAAAATCAGCCTGCTCGGTTTAGTCCAACAGTGAACTCACCCCCAATGGGATGGTTGGAGCTGCTTCTGTTTGGCGAGGCCTTGGCAGGGCCCAGACCAAAGGGTTTTGTGGGCTGTATACGGCCCATGGGCTGGAATCGCCCCAGCCCCGGTGTATAGCATCTGGGATGGACGCGCAAACACCACACCAGACCGTGGAAGGAGAAACAGAATCCGTATTTTTACCACTGCAGCAAAATTGCAAATGTTGTTTCCTTTTAAAATATATATATTTATCCATTTCAGAGAGAGGAAGGGGGAGAGAGAGAGAGAGGAACATCCACAATGAGAGAGAAACATCATTGAGTGGCTGCCTCCTGCTCGCCCCCTGCTGGGAATCAAGCCCCCAACCCGGGCATGTGCCCCGACCGGGAATCACACCTTGATCTCCTGGATCCTAGGTCGACGCTCGACCACTGAGCCACGCCGGCCGGGCTGTAGTTTCCTTTTCTTAAAACAATATGGGGGGATGTGCATGTGGGGGGGGGGTGTGAGAATATCCCACAGAACCCGTGTCCAGCGGGAGGAGGGGAGCGCGGGCAGAACACGGTGGAACTGCGTGAAAGATGTTCCGAATGAGCTGAATGCCATTGTCCCCAGGAACCCGCAGGCCCCGGGGAGACAATCCGAGCCTTCTTTGCCGAGTCAAAAGCTGCCTTTCTGTCTTCGGGGGGTTTTCATTTGCATGTCCCCAATCTTGCACCTGCAGGCTTGTTCCAGAAAGCTATCATCCAGAGCGGGACCGCCCTGTCCAGCTGGGCCGTCAACTACCAACCTGCCAAGTACACTCGGATACTGGCGGATAAAGTCGGCTGCAACATGCTGGACACCACGGACATGGTCGAGTGCCTTCGGAACAAGAACCACAAGGAGCTCATCCAGCAGACCATCACCCCCGCCACCTACCACATCTCCTTCGGGCCCGTCATCGACGGCGATGTCATCCCCGACGACCCCCAGATCCTCATGGAGCAGGGCGAGTTCCTCAATTACGACATCATGCTGGGCGTCAACCAGGGGGAGGGCTTGAAGTTCGTGGACGGCATCGTGGACAACGAGGACGGCGTGACCCCCAACGACTTCGACTTCTCCGTGTCCAACTTTGTGGACAACCTCTACGGCTACCCGGAAGGGAAGGACACCTTGAGGGAGACCATCAAATTCATGTACACGGACTGGGCGGACAAGGAGAACCCAGAAACCCGACGGAAGACCCTGGTAGCGCTCTTCACCGACCACCAGTGGGTGGCCCCCGCCGTGGCCACGGCGGACCTGCACGCCCAGTACGGGTCTCCCACCTACTTCTACGCCTTCTACCACCACTGCCAGAGCGAAATGAAGCCCAGCTGGGCAGACTCAGCCCACGGCGACGAGGTCCCCTACGTCTTCGGCATCCCCATGATTGGCCCGACCGAGCTCTTCAGCTGCAACTTCTCCAAGAACGATGTCATGCTCAGCGCGGTGGTCATGACGTACTGGACGAATTTCGCCAAAACCGGGTATGTTCTGCGCATCTTATTACCACCCTCCTCCCAGATGTCTGGTTCTTTCCATGACCAGATAAACCTCACACAGTCGTCAGTTCCCCGACAATCTTGATGGGGCCCACTATGATTTTTATTTTCTTTTTTAAACATATTTTCATTAATTTCAGGGAGAGAGATAGAAACATCTATGATGAGAGAGTCATGGATCAGCTGCCTCCTGCATGCCCCTGACTAGGGATCGAACCCCCAACCCAGGCCTGTACCCTTGACCCTCAGTCTCCTGGATCCTAGGTCGATGCTCAACCACAGAGCCACACTGGACGACACATGTTTTTTCTTTACCCCTAAATTATTTTTCTGTGAAGCCAGATTTTCGTTACAGCACTCGCTGCACATTGAAAATTTTGTTTCCTCGCTGCTAGTGCAGGATATAGACATATTTGGCAGTTCTGGGTAAAGTGGGTCATAGTTTCAGATATAAATGAAACCTTGTCTCATTTGGTAAATAACAGGACTATCAAAATGCACGAGCCACGCGGTAAATTGTGGTTACTGTGTAGCCACAGAAAGGAAATAGATTTCACGGTAACTATAGAGAGATACTATGTGTGTGTGTTTGTTTCTATATATACACACAGAGAGATACATTGTTTTATTGTAGCTGCCTGTATGGTGCTTTGTAGATATTCCATTTTTGTGTGTGTTTTTTTACAAATTGAAGGTAAGAGCCTCCACCAGCAAACAGATCACGACTTATGAAAGGTCAGCATTTCTTTTTGCAAGAACGTATTTTTCATTAATGTATGTGCGTTATTTTTTTAGGCATTAGGCTATTACACGCTCAGTAGATTACAGCAGCGATTTTTGACCGCTGTGCCCCAAGGATTTTTAAAACACGGGATACGTGACTATTGAGTCAGGGGCACAGACCTCTTTGCCTTAGGTTGTCCAACAAGAAAATGGCAACAGGCAACACGATAGCCACTCGGTGTGAATGAATCAAAATTATTCCTATTTTTTGGTCAGATCTGCAAAAAAATATATTTTGGGGGTTGCTGTAGAATTTTCGTAATTAGGTTACATGAGCCATGAGATGAAAAGGTTGGAAATTGCTGGACTACAATAGTGTGTAAATATAACTTTTATATACACCGAGAAAGGAAAAAATGCAGGTGACTCATTTTATTGCAATATTTCCTTTACGGCAGGGGTGTGGAACCTAACGGAAATGTCTCTAAGGTCTGCCTGTCTATATATATACATACACACATGCACCCAATTATATACATAATTTCCCTATTGTACTTGTTTTATATAAATATATAAAAGTTTATACATATTTATTTTAGAAGTAAATATACAATTTATATATGTGCATATAGAGATATATATTTATCTATATCTATACAAATATATCTTAAAGGAAAGGTCATCGTCTAAATGTATAAAAACACACAAGAGCTACACATACAACAACCTCCGCCCATATTCTACTGAGCAGATTCTCAGCAAACAAAGAGAGAAAAGACTGCCCGACATCTTAGGCGGCTGCACCGTAATATCCTGGCATCTTTTCATTTCCTCTTGTCTCGGCACCTAATTGTGGAAATTAATGAAGTGCCGTCCTGTGCTACCTGCATGTGCTTCTGTCATTAACCTTGAGCCTCTTGTGCAGAATTGGAAATGAAGATGCTCAGGGCCCCGGGGGACGGCGAGTGTTCCCGCGGCGTGCGGGGTGGCCGAGTCAGGCCCCCACGACGCAGACCCTGAGCCCCATGCTGCTCTAGAGAGAGTGGGGTTCAGGGGATGCTGAGGGTCTGGATGCTCAGACCTTTAGAAGCCACCGTTTTTTTGCAGTGATTCCAAATACTCTTTGGTGGGAACAGGTTTCAGGATGATTTGCCATCGCAACTGGACTACAGCGTGTTTACTGAGTTGAAAGAGTGTTGCACGGGTCCCCGTGTTGAGCTGTCAGATTTGACAGATGTGACCTAAGAAAAGCTGCCCTAGGAGGCAGTGGGGAAAGGAGAAGGTACAGACGTTTGAGAGAAATGCTTCTCTATCACCAAGAAGTTCTCTCTTCCACAAAGATAGCATGGAAGTCACATCAATACATGTTTAATTTATCTTTATTGTTGAAAGTATTACAGATGTCCCCCCGTTTCCCCCCCATTTCCACCTGCTCCCTCCCCAGCCATCCGTGGAGGGACCTGGAGAGTATGATGCTGAGTGAAATAAGCCCGACAGAGAAAGACAAGTATCTCAGGATCTCACTTACACGTGGAATCTAATGAACAAAATACATATGTGCAGGTAACACAGGCTTATTAGATTCCTAGGGCGGTTGAAACAAAGTATCCAAAAAGGTGGGGTTTGAAACAATAGGAATACATTGTTTCGCAGTTGTGGATGCGAGAAGTCCACAGTGCCCGGGTCTCCAGGGCTATGTTCCCTCCAAAACCTGTGTGTTGGGGGGATGTCTCCTTGCTTTTTCTGACCTTCTGATGCTTTGCTGGCAGTCTTTGGCAGTAAGGATTTGCAGGTGCACCCCTCCAATTTCTGCCTCTGTGATCATGTGGTTGGTCTCCCGGGGCATCATTTCTGTGTTTAGATGGCCATTGGCTTTTTAAAATGTGTTTAAATATGTTTTTATTGATTTCAGAGAGAGAAAGGGAGAGGGGGAGAGAGAGGGGGAAACATCAATGATGAGAGAGTCATTGATCACCCGCCTCCTGCACGCCCCCTACTGGGGATCGAACCTGCAACCCGGGCATGTCCCTGACCGGGAATCGAACTGCAGTCTCCTGGATCCTAGGTCAATGCTCAACCGCTGAGCCGCACCGGCCGGGCTAGATGGCCATCTTCTCATTATGGAGCCAGGCACATTGCATGAGAAGTTCCTTCTACTCCACTTGACCTCATCTTATCTCGACTCATTCCCTCTGCAGGGACCCTGTTTCCAGAATGGTCACATTCTGAGGTGCTGGGGGTTAAGAACCTCAGCGTGTCTTCATTTGAGGGGTAACAGCTGAACTCACAGCCCCTTTTAAAGGCGAGCCCAGGTCCAGTTATGTCAGGGAAATCAGATGTATGGTGTCTGCCGTTGCAACGATTTGCATTCGCATGAACCAAAAAGATTCATATGGGTGTCTCCCAGCCAAACCTTGGTATCTATGCCCAATCAAGACACCATCTTCCAAACATGCCATTCCTTTTTAAAAAAAAATCCTTACCTGAGGATATGTTTTTATTGATTTGAGAGATACAGACAGAGAGAGACCAGTTGCCTCCTGTACACGCCCTCACCGGGAATTGAACCTGCAACCTTTTGGTCTCTGGACAACACTTCAACCAACTGAGCCCCCTCCCTGGCCAGCGCCAAACATGTCATTCTTTGCATAAGATCTTTTCATCACTTACTTTTAAGAAAAACGTATTTTTTCCCGCCTTTATATATTTTGGAAATAAACTTTTTTATTCTTTTCTTAAATGCAAAGCCAGTGCCACTCATCACCCGTGTCACTAAACCATTCAAAGAAAATCGTGGAAGCCAAACAAAGCCATTAAAATTCCCGTCAGCTCTCCTGCCAGCCAGGGGCTCCCGCGGCCGAGGCGTTCTCTTTGTTTAAAAATGAAAGAAAAAAAGATAAAGGGAATTAATTAGTGATAAGCTGGCAGGAAGGCGATACCTTCCCCAAGACCTAAGGAACAAACACAGAGCCAGGATTGAAAACTCCAGGCGGATCTGTTATCGGATGCCTTTGAGCTGTAACCGCGGTTCCTAAAATCACTAAGCCCGGCCGCTGTGGTTTCTGCCCTCGTTCTGGGGGAATATGAAAGGTGCGGAGATAATAAACTGACCTGCGATGAATCGCGGCCCGTATATATTCACGGGGACATGAGTGATAGGTGCTTAGGAGACGTCCGGCTTTTTTAAAAAAAAAAAANCCGTATATATTCACGGGGACATGAGTGATAGGTGCTTAGGAGACGTCCGGCTTTTTTTAAAAAAAAAAAAAAAAAAAAAAGTGATAAAGTCGCTGGCGTGGCCAGGAAAGAACAAAGGTCTGAGCTTGGAGAAATAGCTCCCAGCTGACCTGTCGTCCCAAAGTTCAGGTACAAATCCCACGGAGGTGACACTATAGAGATGACGGGGGCCTATAGGAGAATCTGGGCTTTATCCGAACGGGGGCTAATTTGGTTTCTGCAGCCCACGAGGTGCAGAGCTGAAGGAATTCTTAGGGATGCGTGTGCAGAGGCTCTTTTTTCTCTTTTTAAAATTAATTTGTAAAGGTTGCTGGCGTGACTCACATCAGCTTTAGAGGGAGCCACTCAGAACTTCCTTTAGTGTGCAAAGCAAAACACCGCTTCCAACGTCAGTAAGTGGGGAGTAAGGTGTCGCCCACAGCTGGTTCGCCAGGGAAACGGGGCATTGAGCCGACGGGCACCGGGTAGTGACGTCGGCGTTTGTCAGCGGGCGACAAGGGCTTCAGAGGGAGTTGCTGGTTAGGTATTTATTTTAAATAAGGTTGCAGCCCTGGGCGACGGGCTCAGTGGTTAGAGCGTCGGCCTGCGCACCAAAGGGTCTCAGGTCTGATTCCCGGTCAAGGGCACGTTCCTCGGTTGCAGGTTCGATCCCCAGGTGTGGTCGGCAACCAGTCCACGTGTCACGTCCACGTCTCTCCCTCTGTCTCTCTCTCTCTCTCTCTCTCCCCCTCCTTCCTTCCCCTTTACTTTCTCTGGAAAGCAATGGAAAAAATATCCTGAGGTGAGCATTAACCAGAAAAGAAAGAAAGAAATAAGATTGTGGCATCACCCGCTCTGCACACAGGGTTTCCTGGTCCCCTGTATTCCTTGGGTATATATTACTTTGTAGTCCTCTCTGCCTAAGGAAATTTTTCAGTGTCCTAAATTATATATGTACCTATTCTAAATATATATTAGAATACCTAATATCTATATTAGAATACCTATTGTCACAAAGGGATAACGTTTATCGAACGCTTACTATATGCCTGGAATGTGGCTGTTAATATTTAACCCCCACCGGTGTAAAAGGCGGGAGGTTTTGGAAATGACTTCGACAGCCTCAGATTGGGGGCTACAGTCCTTCCTTTACCAGGTAGCGTATCTGCTGGTGAACTATCCTGTTTGCATCTTTCACGATGCCTGGTAACGTCTGTAGACCTGGTGTCTTCAAGTCGGACTTGCTGGTCCCCCTGCTTTCTGGCCTGGAGCCGACCGTGGGTGGAGGTAGCTTCGTAAAAGAACCACCAAGAGCTGTCTGTCTTGATTGTTGTTGAAGACAGTTTGTTGCATTTTAAAGACAGTGGAAGTGTTATGAGAACACCACAGTGCTGCCATCGTAAACGATTTTTAAAATGCAGTTGGTGACAGAAGATGGGGTACATATATACGCCGTGGAGTATTACTCGGCCATGAAAAAGAAAAGAAATCTTACCATTTGCGGCAACCTGGATGGATCTAGAGAGTATTGTGTTGAGTGAAGTTAAGTCAGACAAAGACAAGTCATGTATGAATTTCACTTATATGCACCAGCGGTGTATAGACATATAGATAGATATTTAGATACATAGATATATATAGGTAATGGAATATTACATGGCCATACAAAAAATTAAATCTTATCATTTTTGACAGCATGGATATTTCACTTAGCACAATACGTAGAGGATATTGTGCTAAGTGAAATAAGCCGGACAGAGAAAGACGAATACCGTGTGATTTCACTTATATGAGGAATCTAAAGAACCAAATAAACAAATAGAAACACGAAAAAAATACAAGTATGGGGATTTTAAGGGAAAGACAAAGCCGTAGCCGTCCTTAGCACAAAGCGGGATAAATCCGTGGCTCCTTCAGTCTTTTGGGCGGGTCGATAAACACGTCATTTCTTGTTTGATTAAGACTTACTTGTGAAAGAATGTGACGCCTTCCTTTCTCTGTTTTTCCCTCCTGCTTTCCCCAGCGACCCTAACCAGCCCGTTCCTCAGGACACCAAGTTCATCCACACGAAACCCAATCGCTTCGAGGAGGTGGCCTGGTCCAAGTACAACCCCAAAGACCAGCTGTATCTGCACATCGGCCTGAAGCCCAGAGTGAGGGATCACTACCGAGCCACCAAGGTGGCCTTCTGGCTGGAACTCGTCCCCCACCTGCACAACTTGAACGAGATATTCCAGTACGTCTCCACCACCACCAAGGTCCCTCCTCCCGACATGACCTCCTTCCCCTACGGGACCCGGCGCTCTCCTGCCAAGATCTGGCCGACCACCAAACGCCCGGCCATCACGCCGGCCAATAACCCCAAACACTCCAAGGACCCTCACAAGACGGGGCCCGAGGACACGACCGTCCTCATCGAAACCAAAAGGGATTATTCCACCGAACTGAGCGTCACCATCGCCGTGGGGGCCTCCCTGCTCTTCCTGAACATCCTGGCCTTCGCCGCCCTGTACTACAAGAAGGACAAGCGACGCCACGAGACGCACCGGCGCCCCAGCCCCCAGAGGAACACCACCAACGACATCGCTCACATCCAGAACGAGGAGATCATGTCCCTGCAGATGAAGCAGCTGGAGCACGAACACGAGTGCGAGTCGCTCCAGGCTCACGACACGCTGAGGCTCACCTGCCCGCCGGACTACACGCTGACCCTGCGGCGGTCGCCCGACGACATCCCACTTATGACACCAAATACCATCACCATGATCCCCAACACACTGACGGGAATGCAGCCCCTTCACACGTTCAACACCTTCAGCGGAGGGCAAAACAGTACAAATTTACCCCACGGGCATTCCACCACGCGGGTATAGCTTCGCCGTTTCCTCCCCCTTCCCGCCGACGCCCCGGAGAGCCAGTGGACCCCACCCGACGTCTCCACCCAAGGAATGTTTTCCATCCCACCCACTTAGGACAGAAACTCTCTTTCTCACACACACACACACACACACACACACAAGGGCCGTCGGGCGTCCCCGCGTCCCCGGCGGGCCCGCCCGACCCGTTGGCATTGCCCGGTAGGACAAGACCAACTCCTGACCCAACGCCGACGTGGCCATCCCAGCGCTGCTCCCCAGCGCTCCTCGACTCCCGCGGACGTTTCGTGGGACACCGCCGTGTCCAGGACCTGGGTGTGTTCCCCACGAAGCGTCCACGAGCCGAGACCTCTGGACCTTAGCCGGGGACACGTCATGTGGTTTTGTGGTTTTTTTTTTTTTTTGGTTTTCTCTTTCTTTTTCGTTTTTTAAAATTACAATTTCAAAATAATAATAATAATAATAATAATAAAGTTCTTTATGTGCCATATGCCAGATGGCTCTACGTAAGTGAAGAGAGAGAGAGAGTCTGTGGGTGTTGACCCAGCGCACGGAGCGGTCGATCCGGCGAGAGAAGAAACGTAGAATTTTATTATCCCAATAAAAGAACTGACTATGCAGTAACCGACGTATAGTTCTGCGCAAAGAGATGTTTGGCCGGCCTGAACTATATGGAAGAAACTTTGTAAAAATAAAAAAAAGAACTTGTACATAGCCGTGAGTTTAAACACGCGCACACACACACACACACACGCACGCCCACGCGCGCCCACGGGACAGAAAACGCGGCGAAGCGGAACCACGCAGACACAGAAAAGCTTTTCTTGGTGTTTTTAGTCTGAAAGAGCTTTTAGCAAGATTGTCCTTTCTCCATTGTGGTCTGTATGTATGTAAATATAAATATATCTATATATACATTTAGTCCTATCACCTCTGTTTTCCTCCAGGACGTAGGAGGCGCTCCTCTCGTTCCTTGTGATGACGACGCCACGGGGCTTTGTTTTCACGCGTCGCTGGGCCCGGCCCGCGTGGCACTGGGCGAGCCGCACCCTCCCCTTCGCAGGTTGTACAAGTGCATGTCACAGCACCCTTAGGAGACTGTTGTTTTAGGAAACCTTTATTATTTTATTTTATTTTTTTCCGTGTGCCCGCGTGTGTGTGTGTGCGTGCGAGGCCTTCCTGAAGTCGCAGCGCAGACACGGATCCCCCGCCACTTTGAGCCGGCGGAAAGCTGGTGCAACTAGACACCCGCACCCACGGGGCGACGCCTGGTGCCCACCCCTCCGAAACTAACAACAACAAAAAAAACACACACAAAAAATAGAATTTCTGCTCCGTGGTTCTGCTTCCCTGGCTGTGTTTGGGAAGCGTTGCTTCTCACCCCGGGGCCCTGCCAAAAATAAATAAATAAATGAAAGAAAGCTGGCCTTCGGTGGGGCCGTGCCCCCCGCGTCAATACAGCTCTGTGTTTGCCCAGCAGCTGCGGGGCGGGCTGGCGGGCACCCTGGCTGCTCCGCTTCGCCAGGCAGATGGCAGGAGGCCACGGGCGCTTCCCTTGGTGTTCAAGCCGTCGGCCCCTTTTTATCCATCAAACAAAGTTTGCCCTACTCTGTCTGCGCTTGTCTGGAAATATCCCTTTCTGTGGGTTGGCGCGTCCGTGCCCGATGGATGACTGGGGCAGACAGGGAAGAGGGAGCCAGGAGGGGACGCGGGGTTCGCAGGGAGCCAGGGCCTGGAGCACGTGCAGACACGATTCACCCCTTTAAGAATTGGCAGGCCGGGCACAAGAGTCCCTTGGACGCTTTGTCGCCCTCTCGGCATCAATCTGTCGTCAATAACATCATTTCGGGCGTCGGAGAGCGCAAGGGGAAGCTTAGACACAACCGTCGTGTCTTTATCTTCCCGAAATCATCGCCCCGCCAGGAAACAGCAGCCAAAGATATGAGCAGGGAGCGTCCCGGCGAGGGCTCGGCCGTCTAACCGAGAAACGGGGCCTGAACGGTCGCTGTCCAGGTGGCCTTTCCGCACAGACGGTGCCCCGATTTCTTTGCACACAGGCCCCCCCCCCACAAACGAAAACCGCAGTTGTTGGAATCAGGGTGTTTGGGCAAAGCCCTCTGGGGAAAGACCCGTTTTTAGAAATGCTTGAAAGGGACCCAAATGGGTTTAAGTTGGGGAGCGGCTCTGTGTGTGTCCCTGTGGTGGGACATTATGGTCCCAAAGCGGAGGATGGTGATGCCAGGCGCCTTTCCCGCAGCGCAAGGCGGCCCGGAGGAGATTTTCGTCCCAGCGCCTGCCCACTCTGTTATATTCCCGCAAACAGGCGCCCCCATCCAC